GAGGGAGGGAGGGGGGAGGGAGGGAGAGGGGGGGGCGACAGCAGCCCTGTCTGGAAGGAGGGTGGGACTGTTGCCCCGAGACTGAAAGCAGCAGGCCAAGGATCAGTGGATTTCCCTCCTAGAAAAGGTCTCAACAAGCTTAGAACCTCCGGACAGGAACAGCCATGAAGCCGTGGGACAGTCTGGCTGGAAGAACAACCGTGGAAGGCTTCCAAAACCAAACCAGATACCCTCCCCTCCCCTCCTCCTTGAGTTGGCCTAGCAGATTCTGACAGCTACGGTCCCACTGATACCCTCTACGATGCTATGTGAACACAGCAGCGAACGTACTGGGCAAACCCCCAAAAATGAGGGTTAATTCCCCCAAACAGGTTGAATGCGTTGTATGGCGATCAAGAAGCCACTGAGGCAGGCAGCGCCACGCCCTCCCCCAGCTCCTCCTTGCGGGTTCTGCACACCTGCCAGCAATGGCCTGGGGGGGGGAAACCTACCGCAGCCTCCCGTCTTGGGCAGCCGCCCCTCCTGGGATGATCTTCGTAATGAACACACCGGAGTCGTCCTCCACGTGAGGGTTGTCTGTGCCTCCTGCGATGCTAAAGCCCAGCCCAGAATTGCCCTGAAAAAACAGCCCATGGTTACCGCCCTGGAGCACTAGGGTGGCTGAGGGGCCATCCTGAAGGGAGAAGGCCGTGATCCTGTGAGAAACCACGCATCTCAGGAGCCCCCCTCAGCTGGCAAGAGAACTGGCACCCACCTCAGCCCTGCCCTGCCTTCTTGCCACCCCAACATGGAGAAAAAACCTGCTTAAGATCCCCCCCCACCCCCAGGAACTCACAAGCGCATAGCTGGGTAGGCTGAACTTGTAGAAGTGAGGCTGGAAAGAGGGCAGCCAGGGTTGCTCCAGCGTCGGTGTCGGGGGTGTTGTTTAAAAAGGTGGGGGGGGGGGTTGGATTTGCCAGCCAGGAAATGGGGAGCTTCCCTTGGCACTCAAATCCTGCAGGCTGGTTCGACCCAAGCGTTCAAGAGGAGCCGGTCGACAGCTAGCTAAGCTATGCCGAGAGGTAACCAAAGGTCCCACCCTGGCTTTGGCATGGCCAGATTAACTAGGTTAAGGGAGCCTGGAACCAGTGGGAGGGAGCACCGGGCGCCACTGTGCAGGGAAGACCGGCAGGAGCCACTGAGGAGGAGAAACGGGGGAAGGATGCGTTTCCTCCCCACCTGGGCCAGAATGAATGGATTCACCCAATGGATGAAAGAGCAGATATTTACCCTTTCCAGCGTGATTTCTTCATATTCATACTCCGCGTCGGTGCCGTTCACCTAAAGGAATGCACAAAACATGCAAACGGTGAGGTTACGGACAGCACCCCCAACACCCAGGGCCCCAGGGTCCAAGGGCTGCCATTATCCTGGCTTTGCTTGGTTTTACTTTTTTTAAAAAGGCAACCAATGAGGCGCAATTCCATGGGTGCAATTCCTCCCGCAGAAACAGTGGCCGGTGGTCCCCGGAGCCAAAATCCAGGACCCCCTCAAATGCTACTCGTTCCACGCAGGAGGGGCGTCTATTTGCATCTTCAGGGTGGCCAAGCAGAGGGGCCGAGATCTCAGAAGGTAGAGAGGAGGGCTGGCAGGGAAGAGTGCCAGTGGGGAAGGGGGGGGCGAGACTTTTCCCCACTGCCAAGAGGGGAAAGGAAGCTGGACAAGCGCCTGAGGAAGAGGAGCCATGGGGGGGGGGGGAGGTGAATAAAAGGCAGGCTGTGAGGGCAACGGAAGGGCTGTGACCCCAGACAGTGTCAAGCACATGGTGGCCAAAACAACACGGCAGCCCGAATCAGTCTTAAGGGCTTTGGGTGGTAGCAGCACTGCCGGCAACCCAGACGATGCCCATACACCACCTGGCGACGATCCTCCTGGAGCTGAGCTGTTCAGACTGGTGGAACCAAAAGCGTGTGAAGCGGAGGCTTGCAAGGTCGCCGCGAGCCGAAAAAGAGAGGGGGGTTGATCCAAGATGGCGGCTGCCACTGTGTTCACCGCAAAAAAGCCTCTCCCGAGCTGGCACTTTTAGAATCAAGCCCAGGGGAGCGGTCCGTGGCACTTCCCCCCAAAGCAGCTTACTCCAAGCCTCCGATTCTAGCGACACGGAAGGTAATCGCCCCCCACCAGCTCACTCCCCACATTCTCACCTTCGTGGGAAACACAGGGAAAAACAAAGGATTCACTCCAACAAATTCTCAAAACAAAAAAAGGATAAAATAAACCAAAATAAGAAAACCTGTGAACAATTTGGAGAGTCCAAGCCAAATTAATTAAAAAACAGCTGGAGCTCATTAAAATTCACCCTGAATGGGCCAGACTGAGTTAAAAATCTGGCCTTAAGGAGGAGCAGGAGGCATGGCCAAAGAATTTGAACTCAGTCCTTGGGCAACCAGACTAATTTAACCCATGCTTGGACTCTCCCGCAGCGCACAGGAAAATCACTAACTCACGAAGTGATTCCACAACACAACCGGGGGGGGGGGGGGGGAGGGAATGGCCAGGCCGAGAGAGAAAGAGGAGCAGCGGGTGCCCTCTGTGCCCCTCCCCCAGTTCTCCCTATGATTTGCCCCCCGAGGGAAAAGGAAGGCAGTGCAGCCGACACGCCAGGGCCCTATCCTGGCTGACCTGCTGAGCACCGGAGGTCCTTGCGCTGTGGCCTTCTGGGCTAGTTCCGGCCTCCAGATGGTCCTCCACGGGCAGCCCCAGGTAGGGTGCCCCAAGCAGCCCATCAGGCAAAGACGAGGCACAAGTGAGTGCGAGCAAGGCTGGTCCCAGTCCAGAATGGGCACAACTGGCGCACAAGATGAATTTGTGCAGAGGTCACACACTGCACAGCAACACAACCTCTAACAGCCGTCTGCGGTTCGTGCAGGTTCAAATAGGCCAAAATTCACTTTCATACGGTTTATAGATTGATACCAGGCCACATTTAACCCAGGCCAGAATTCATGCACAGCAGAGGCAGGCGAACTCAAGGAGAAGGAGAAGGAGAAGGAGAAGGAGAAGGAGAAGGAGAAGGAGAAGGAGAAGGAGAAGGAGAAGAAGAAGAAGAAGAAGAAGAAGAAGAA